ATCAGATCGACCAACTGCGCACAGCCCGGGTTCTCTCGAAAATCGACCTTCAAGGAGGTTACCACCAGATCCACGTCAACCCACCTGACTGCATGAAAACAACTTTCCGAACATGCTACGGATCCTTCGAATACACCGTCATGCCACTTGGACTGACCCACGCCCTCGCTACATTTCAAATGACCATGAACGAATCCTTCCGCCTGCTTTTAGATAAGTGTGAAGGAATGAATGAACTAGCAAGCAGGTGGGTACAAGTAGGAAAACCTAAAAGTGTTGTACCCCATATTTTCTACCCCACTACAGCCTACACAGACTATAGCATATGAGTTTGACACACCCCCATAGGCAAAATGGGGGAGAACAAGAGGTCACAAGACCAGTCAAGTAAAGCAAAGCAAGCTTAGGGTGGATCACAACGTCACCACAGAGTCCGAGCACAAGAGCAAGGCCACAAGGCCAGTTCACATGCAAGATCATATATAAAGGTAAACAAGCAAGTGCAGGTATAGAAAGATCACAGTACAAGCAAGGTCAAGAAGTGAGCAAGTGAGACCAAGTAGGCACAAGACCTAGCATCGTACAGAAGCGTTGATGATCAAAAGGCAGAAGTGCCTTGGTAAAGATATCAGTAGTGTTGGCCTCAGAGGCTACGTAAGCAAGGCGCAGCTGACCACGCTGCTGCAGCTCACGAGCAAGGAAGTAGCGAAGAGCAATGTGCTTCGTTCTGTGCCCCAGTCTGTGCTCCTGACACAAGGCCAGCATGGCCTTGTTGTCTACGTACAGAACTGGAGGAGAACGAGGCGGCTCCTCTAGGTCAGTCAGCAGGTAGGTGAGCCAGCGTAGCTCCTGTGCAGCCATGGCCCCCGCGTAGATCTCAGCCTCACAGCTGGAGCCGAGAACAGAAGACGAGCGGGTAGACTGCCACGAAACAGAGCCGGAGCCAAGGCTGAAGGTGTAACCCTGTGACGACCGCTGCGTAGCCTGGTCGTCAGCCCAAGAAGCGTCTGCGTGACCTGTGAGGACCAGTGGACGTCGCCCTCCAAGCACTAGCCCCATGCCCGACGTACTGCACAAGTAGCGCAACACCCTCTTCGCTGCAGCCATATGCTCTGGTCGGTGTCTCCCAGGAGCAACATAGCGTGCCAAGATGCTAAGAGGGTATGCAAGGTCAGGTCGTGTGCAGGTCATTAGGTACATGAGGCAGCCAACAAGCTCTGGGTACGGGCCACTCGGCTCTACGGACTTATCCGAAGTCAGAACTGAGAGCGAGTGGCGAGTAGACAGAGGAGTGGCCTGTGGCGAGGAGTACGTGAAGCTGAAGCGCTGAAGGACCTGCAGCACCATGTGTGACTGAGTCAGGGTAATGGTGCGCTGTGCTCTGTCCCGGATGATCTCCAAGCCAAGGTAGCTGCGTAGTTCACCCAGGTCTGTGCACGTGTGTCTCTTCTGCAGCTCGGACTTCACGTGGGCAAGTCTAGCAGGGTGAGCAATGGCAAAGACCAAGTCGTCAACGTACACGAGGATGTAGAACGGTGGCAAAGAGGTGTCGGTGCGCAGAAACAGCGACGGGTCGGCTGTAGACGGAGCAAACCCAAGAGCCGCAAGTGTAGTCCTCAGTGTGTCGTGCCACTCACGGGGCGCCTGGCGGAGACCGTAGACTGGCCGCCGTGGGCTCCACTAGGTACGAGGAGGAAACGACCCAGTGAAGCCAGGTGTTCGGCGCAGCCAGATCTCCTCGTGCAGGCTGCCCTGCAAGAAAGCTATGCTGAAGTCAAGAGAGTGAAGCTCATAGTCGCGCTGAGCGGCTATGTGCAGCAGCACCCGAAGAATGGTCATCTTCGGTGTGGGAGAGAAACCCTGAAAGTAGTCAACACCCTACCGCTGAATGAAGCCTCGAGCCACGTAACGCGCCTTGAAGACAGGCGGAGAACCCGGCGGCCGCTTCACCCCGAAAATCCACATGCCACTGACGATGTTCGCCCCAGGAGGGGGAACCTTGTCGACGTAGGTGCCTGTGGAACTCCAGGAAGCCATCTCTGCGTCCATGGCTGACTGCCACTGTGAGGATTAGGGACCCTCGATCGCCTCAGCGTACGATCGAGGAGTCGGGATGTCTGGTGCATCCGGTTCTCCCTCAGGGGCAATCAGTGTGGACACGAGATGAGGCAAAGCAGCAGCAAGACACTGGAACTCCTCCTGCCTGTCCTCAAGGACGTCCATGCTAAGAGCACACTCACCCCCAACGGATGGAGGACAGACAGACTCAGACTCAGCAATGAGACTAGCGGCGTAGTCTAGACGATAGCGAGCAGCAAAGTCGACAAGCTCAGCAACTAAGGAAGACGCAGCAGTGGACTCAAAGGAAGGGTCAGTGACAACAGTGGCCAGGAGACGCGTGACAGTAGGACTAGCAGCACGAAGAGAGTCAGACTCAGGGTCAGCAAGAACAGGAAGAGAGGACTCTGGAGGAGACGGCGACGGGACACGCAGAGGAGCAGTGGAAGGGCGCAGTGCGATCTGGTGTGTGCCGGGGACCACAGGAGGACGCGGACGCGGAGCACGACCACTAGTGCGAGCAGCACGAACAGGCGACGCAGGACGAGACGCAGGCTCATGACGCTCAGCATGACCTCCAATAGGACCAGTGTAGTGAGAAGGAGCAGGTAGGGGGGAGGCGGGCTGTAACTGTGACCGCGACTGGACAGGCTGTGGACACTCTAAGGGAGGAGCAGGACCAGTAGAGGGCGGGAGACCAAGAACCTGCTCAAGGAGCGGAACGAAGTACGGCCTCGGCCGCGCAGCGCCTCCAGAACCAGCAGGGACAGCACCAGTTCCCCTAGTGGCTGCACCAGCGCCAACAGCACCTCCAGCTGCAACAACGCCAACTCCAGCACCCTCAGAAGCACCAGCGCCAGCAGAACCACCAGCGCCAACACCCCCAGCAGCTCCAGCTCGAGCAGCTCCAGCAGCACGAACTCCAGCAGGACCGTCAGCTCCAGCACCGCCAGCAGCTCCAGCAGTACCTCCAGCAGGACTAACTCCAGCAGCCCCAGCAGCACCCCCAGTACCAGCAGCTCCACTACCGCAAGTACGAGCACCTCCAGGACGAGCAACAACAGTAGTACCTCTAGCTCCAGTAGCACGGCTCCAGCGGCGGGCAAACCACTCGCGCAGCTCCTGCGGAGAGAGTAGCTCCCGCCTCGACGAAGCAAACCCAACACCCCCAGGCTCCGCACCCCCAGGCTCCGCTCCCCCGAGCTCAGCACCCCCACGCTCAGCACCTCCAGACCCGGCACTCGCAGGCTCAGCACCCCTAGACTTAGCACTCCTAGGCTCCGCACCCCCAGGCTCAGCACCCCCAGACCCGGCACCCGTAGGCTCAGTACCCCTAGCAGCACCAGAGTCAACAGCTACCTCGACAGGCTCGACGGCGTCTACCTGGGACACACCTCCATGGCAGGACCCGGAGGGTGGAGAGGGTCTAGCGGGGGAGGACTAGGCGCAAGGAAGTGCGTCGGCGGGGGGAGGGGCGCAGTGCGTTATGGGAAGAGACGGTAGCAAGGCACCGACTCGTCAAAGGTGACGTCCTGGGAGGACAAAACACGGCGCGAGGTGGGGTGGTAAAACTGCCAACCAGGCCCGTCAGGGGGGAAGCCAAGGAAGACGCAGGGAACAGCACGGGGGGACAGCTTGTCCGCAGACAAGTCGCGGACAAATGCCCGAGATCCCCAGACCCGAAACGCAGAGGCATCGCCAACCTTCCCCGTCCACCGTAAGGTGGGGGGGGTCTCTGGCAAGGAGACCCGGGGCTGAAGGTTGAGCTGATGCGTTGCGTACTGAACCGCAAACGGCCACAGAAAATGGGGAGCAGCCGCACGGATCATGGACATACGAGCGACGTCCATGACCATGCCAATGCGGCGCTCAGCAATCCCATTTTGCTGTGGAGAGGCCGGAAGCGTGAAGGTCTGGCAGATGCCCTGTGCACGAGAGAAGGCTCCCAGACGGGCAGAGGAAAACTCCCCGCCTCTGTCAGAGTGCAGACGCAGAACAGGAAAGTCCGAGCAGAAACTCTCTCTGAGCTGGAGGCAAGCTGCGCAGATCCAGTCGATCAACACCTCAGTGACGTCACCCTTGCTGCACAAGGGGAACATCATGGTGTAACGCGAGTAGTCGTCAACCACCAAGGGGAAGTAACGCTCGTGACCCTGGCCACGGACGCGAGCGGGGCCCCACACGTCCATGTGAAGAGTCTGCAGGGGAGCCTCTGTCGGAGGAAACTCGGAGGAGTGAGGGGCGGCGCGCTGCCGCCCCTCGACGCAGGGAACGCAGGTAGGGGCAGGCCCCGGAGGGAGGGGAGGGAGGGACTGGGGGAGACCAGAGACAAGGACACGGGAGGCCATGCCTCGGAGACGAGGCAGGGAGGGGTGGCCAAGGCGGTGGAGCAGACTCAGGACCAGACCTGGACGCTGCAGCAGACACCTGACTCGACGCAGCTACCTAACCAGACGCAGCAACCGGAGGAGACTCAGTAGTCAGTGTGTACAGGCTCGACCCCGGCCGACGGGTAAACGTGGCCAAGTGTCGGCACGTACAGTGGGTCACCCGCTGACTCGAAGGAGTGAACTGGTCAACCCCCCGATCCAGTAGATCAGCACCATTCACCAAGTTTGTAGAGAACGAGGGGAGGTAGAGACCTGACAAGGTGCCAGAGGGGGCGGCCGGACACGGTAAGACAGTGGAGAAACTAGCAAGGACAGGACCCCTAGAGGGGTCCGCCAGGGAGACCGCAACCGGCCGACTAAGCGGCGTAAGCGTGGTGCAGTCTCGAAAGAAGGAGCGGGAAGCACCAGAGTCAAGGGTGAAGGTGTGTAAGGCCTGAGCCGACCAAGATCAAAGATAGCAACCCCCGCCCTAGACAGCTCTCCCCAGCGAGGGATCTCAGTGGCGTCAGGGAACTGGTGACGCCAAGCGTCCATGAGGCGGCCGAAGCAGCGCTAGGTAGAGTGCGAGCCCCCGCACTGCTCACCAGCGCGTTCGCCGGTACGGAGGACGTAGGTACAGGGACCAGTATACCCACCTCGCTGACGCCCAGCGTACCACTCACGAAGCTGCTGGGGGGACGGGGTCTCACGAGTGTGCTGCTGCTGCTGGCGCTGACCACCACCGAAGCTACTCCTCGCTGCAGAGCCACGACCAGCTCCACCGCCGCCGCCTCCGCCACCTCCGCCGCCTCCGCTCCCATCGCCACCGCCGCCGCCTCCTCCGCCTCCACTGCTGCCACCGACACCACCACCCCCGCCACCACTCCCACCACCACCCCCACCCTCTCCACTGCCTCCACCGCCACCTCCTCCGCCCCCGCCAGCCCCTCCAGTGCCCTTGCCCCCCTTGCCCTTGCCTGTGTGGCGTCTCCCACTAGGGGTAGATGCAGCGCCGACCGACTCGAAACCAACGAGGTCGGCCGCAGCAGCAGAAGCAACAGAGGGCAAGAGGGGGGAGGGGAAACACCCCTCAAAGACGGGGATACGAGGGTCACCACGAGAGGCTGCCAGGAGGCGCTCCTCGAGGAGGTCAACGGTGAGTGTGGTGGGGCAAACTGAGAGGAAGTGGTCCCTGACCAAGCGAAGGGAGTCAGGGAGTCGGGTGACTATGTAGTAGAGGGTGATGTACATGGGGGGAGGGTTCTTGGCACAGAACTCAGCAGGAAGCGCAGCGCGGTTGTGACCAGCGAGTGTCACTAGTGCGAAGGTGCGTAATGAGGTCAGCAACTGTGGGAAAGGCAGCAAGGTCAGGGAACAGGTACGGCAGCATGAGGCGGCTAAGAGCAGCAGTGGTAGGGGAAGAGTAGCGTGCAACTATAGCGTCGTACAAGGTCTTAGCACTCTTGTACTGACTAAATTGCGCACGCTCAGCGGTCGGTAAGTGGCGACGCACAGCAAGACGGGCAGCAGCATCGCGTGTGGCCCACTGTGAGCGAACAGTGCTGTCAGCAGTAGCAGGCGGGGCAGAAGAGGCACCAGAAGTGAGATCAGACAGGGAGAGTCCGTCTGCCCTATCGCACTGTAGGAAGAGCTGGAGGTCATCGACCCAGACCTCAAAGTAAACAGCACGACCCTCGGCATCAAAGGTAAGGACACTGGGGGTAGCCATGACTGCAGTTGTCTAACAAGGAGTGCTCTCACCAGTCCGGGTGGGAAGGGCCGGTAGGAACAGTAGCGGCTCGACGGCGGCTCGGCGGCTCGGCAGCTGGGTGGCTCGGCTGCTGGGCGGCTCGGCTGCTGGGCGGCTCGACTGTTGGGCGGCTCGGTTGCTGGGCAGCTCGGTTGCTGGGCGGCTCAGGTGCTGGGCGGCTCAGCTGCTGGGCGGCTCGTTGGTTCGGCCGTTTGGCAGCTGAAGGGGCCGTGAAGGGCGGCAACGGGGTCGCTAGGGGCGGCGACGGGGCCGATAGGGGCGGCGACGGGGCCGCTAGGGGCGGCGACGGGGCCGCAAAGGGGCCGCGAGGGGCCTCGAAGGGCGGCGACGGGGCCGCTAGGGGCGGCGACGGGGTCGCGAAGGGGCCGCAAGGGGCCTCGAAGGGTGGCGACGGGGCCGGTAGGAGCGGCGATGGGGCCGCTAGAGGCGGCGACGGGGCCGATAGGGGCGGCAACGGGGCCGATAGGGGCGGCGACGGGGCCGCGAAGGGCGGCGACGGGGCCGCTAGGGGCGGCGACGGGGCCGATAGGGGCGGCGACGGGGCCGCGGAGGGTGGCGACGGGGCCGCTAGGGGTGGCGCGAGGGGCCATGAGAGGGGCCTCTAGAAGGGCGTGATGAGCCGCTAAGGGCAGGGGACGCGACGAGAGGGCGGCCCACGGGGCGCGCCTCGGGCAGGGGCAACTCGCGCTTCGGTCAGAAAAAAAAAATTCAGTGGTGGGCCCAAGGAAGCGTTCCCACTAGGGAACCTGCTCTATACCATGTGAAGGAATGAATGAACTAGCAAGCAGGTGGGTACAAGTAGGAAAACCTAAAAGTGTTGTACCCCATATTGTCTACCCCACTACAGCCTACACAGACTATAGCATATGAGTTTGACAATAAGTGCGTCATCGTGTACTTAGACGACATACTGATTTACAGCCCAGACACAACACAGCACCGACAGGACATCGAAGCAGTTTTTTAAATACTAAGTGAGAACTGCCCACTAATGAAAGCCTCTTAGTGTGAGTTTTTACAGGATAAACTGGAGTTTTTAGGGCACATTATTTCAGCCGACGGATTGGAAATAGACCCGAAGAAGATCGCGACAATTCAAGCATGGCACCTGCCGACAAATTTGACTGAGCTACAGAGTTTTTTGGGGCTTGTCAACTACATGCGCCGGTTCATCCCCAACATGATGAAGTTTACTGCTCCGTTGACCGGCCTGTTGAGGAAGTGGGTTTAGTACACGTGGGGGGGGAAAGAGCAAGCTGCCTTCTCGGCCCTCAAGAAAATTTTGTGCTCGCCGCCTGTGCTGCACATCACAAATCCGCACCGTCCGTTCGAGCTCGTCACCGACGCAAGTGACATCGCCGTGGGAGTAGTACGGTTACAGGACTCTGGGAACGGCCTTCACCCAATCGTGTACGAGTCCCGCAAACTTCACCCGCCTGAACACAACTACCCGATACACGACCGTGAAATGCTGGCGATCGTGCACGCGTTCAAAGTGTGGTGATGCTACCTCACAGGAGCAGACGTGACAGTTTGGACAGATCACCGCTCACTACAGTACCTCCGCGCCCAACCAAATCTCAATTCGCGACAGATCCGCTGGTTGGACTATCTGAAGTCCAAATTCTACGACACCGTCACGTACAAAAAAGGCGCATCAAATACCGCCCGCCCTACCGCCCAACTTCACGCCATCCTACTCACCCAGACCTACCTACTGTTAACAGGCCTATTCACCCTCTGATATCTTACCGGCCCATTTTTCACGACTGGAAATTGACAGCAACTTGCAGAAGTAAAGGGAGTCTATAATGTAAAATAGGCACCAACTGCATCTGGGTACCCGCGTACTCACTACTGAGGGAACTGCTAATGTAGGAGGCACAGGACGGGATTACCTCGGGTCACTTAAGGGTAGAAAAAACGCGACAGCAACTGCAACGGTACTACTACTGGCCGGAGCTGTTGACCGACGTACAGCACCACGTGAGCTCTATCCTACGTGTCAGGTGATGAAGAGCTCGCGAAAAGGAAAGGCGGCTCAGTTGCAGCCGATTCCACTGCCTGAGCGCGCCTCATAGCAGGTTACCATAGATTTCGTCACAGGGTTACCTTCAAACCTTGGGGGTAACGACGCGGTTATGGTCGTCGTTGACAGACTGACGAAAATGGCTCACTTTGCTGCGGCTCGGCGACTCGGCGGCTCGGGCGGCTCGGGCGGCTCGGGCGGCTCGGTGGTACGGCGGCTCGGCAGCAACTGCAGCTCGGCGGCTCGGCAACCCGGCGGCTTGGGCGGCTCAGGTGGCGCTGCGGCTCGGGCGGCTCGGGTGGCTCGGGCGGCTCGGCAGCAGCTCAGCGGCGCCGGCGGCTCGGTGGTGACGGCGGGGCCGCTTGGGGACGGCGGCGGGGCCGGGTGGAGCGGCGACGGGGCCAGCAAAGGCGGCGCCTGGGCCGGGAAGGGCAGCGTCGGGGCCAGCAGAGGTGGTGCTGGGGCCGAGAAGGGCAGCGCCGGAGCCGTAGGGGTAGGCGACGGGGCCAGTAGAGGCGGGGCCGGGTCGGGAAGGGCGGGGTCGAGGTCGCCGGGGTAGGCGACGGGACCAGCCGAGGTGGCGCCGGGGCCGGGAAGGGCGGACCCGGGGCCGGGAAGGGCGGCGCCGGGGCCGCAGGGGTAGGTGACGGGGCCGCTAGGGCGGCTGATCCGGGCCGTGAGGGCGGCGCGACACGGCCGCTAGGGCGGCGCGACTAGTTGGGGCCGCGACGGGGCAGCGAGGGGTCGCGCGCGGCTCCCCAGGGCGCCGCGACGGGGTAGCGGGGCCGCGCGCCTCGGGGCGCGCGCCAGAGAGAAAAATAGGTCGCACGCCACAGGGCGTGCGATAGATCGAGTAGCAGCGGAAGCAGTAGTAGGGCGCACAGGCCAGGAGCACATGTGCTCTGATACCATGTGAAAATCGAACGAGAATGAATGAACTATGAAAGAAGTGGGTACAAGTACTAACCCTAATTGGGTTGTACACCTATGGGATACCCCACTAAAGCCTACACAACAACATAAGCTATAATGTTCTGACAAGCAGCAGGTGCGGGGCAGGGGAGCGGCCATACGCGGTTGCGCGCGGCTGTGCGCAGCTGCACTCGGCCGTACGCAGCTGCGCGCGGCTGCGCATGGCTGTGGCAGCTCGTAATGGGACGAGGGGCGGGGTAGCTCAGGACAAGGCGGGTAGCGCGGGGCGGGTGACAGGGCGACGGAGCAACAGGGCAGAACGAGCCGCCCAACTCGTCGCCACGATAGTAGGCAGCTCGCCGTTGCGCCCATCACGTCAGTCGCAACTAAGGGCGCGACGGGAGCCACGAAACGAGGAATTCGCGGTGGGCCCATGGCGTAGTTAAAAAATAAGGCAGGCCAGGATGTTACGTGCTCTGATACCATGGCATAATAGTAGTTGGGGCCTAGGGTTTGACCTAGGCGAGAGTGACGAGAGAAAAGTGCAAGCCAAAAAGAGGAGGTTCACTATAGAGCGAGCAATACAAATAGGCAAGAATGAAGAAAGGTGCACCACCAAACAGAAAGTTATATGACTACAGTATTCTACACTACAGGCAGTTTAAAACAATATATAGAGTTCTATATATTATTCTGACAAATCGATCTTAGCCGAAGAAACCGCTCGCCTACTCATCGCAACCGTCGTTCGACTGCATGGGATACGAGCCCCGATAATTAGGGACCGTGATACGAAGTTTACCAGCAACTTCTAGAAGAACCTTTGCGAGCAGTTCGGGACTAGGCTACAGTTCAGCTCGTCGTACCACCTCGAGACCGATGGTCAAACGGAGCGGACCAATCAGACCATGTAGCAGCTGATCCGCGCCGCGTGCGATGACCCGACAACAGGGGAGCAGCAGTTGCCGCTGATCGAGTTTGCAAACAACAACGTTAAGTCGGTGACGACGCAGCAGTCCCCGTTCTACCTGAACCACGTGCAAAACCCAACAGTGCCCATGATGCCGAGTCCAGACAGCCCCACGCCACGCGCACAGCAATTCGCCGAGATTCTGTAGGCTGCCCGCACCAGAGCCGCAGAAGCAATTGAAAAAACCAACGTCATCGCAAAAATAAACGCCTACCGCCACCACCGCCCAGTCACGTACCAGTCAGGGGATTATGTACTGCTCGAGACACAGAACTTAAGAATGTCCGTCGTACCGAAATTACAACCACGCTACTTTGGACCATTCCTAACCAGCCACATGATCACCCCAGTTACCGCCCATTTACTGTTGCCGACCATTTACTGTTGCCGACAGACTGGTACATCAGCCCATCGTTCCACGTTAGTCTGCTTCGCCCTTACATCCCAACCACAAGCCAACTGCCTCGTCACCGCCCGCCAACCATGACTCTCCCTCCATCAGAGCTGATAATTGAACCCTTGAAAATCCTGAGCCATCGAATTAGACACCCCGTAGGCATTAAGAAAATTGAGTTCCTTGTTTGCTGGAAGGACCGCACGCCAACTGAGGATAGCTGGGTGCAGCTGGCCAGCATCGAAAACCACCCTGCCCTGCTAGTGTACCTGAGGAGCTGAGGTTTCCGCGATATAGATGTTGAAAGTAAAGGGAAAAAAGGTGTGATGACTATCGAGAGAGTTGGGTACAAATAACAAAACCTAAACCCTACATAAGCCACCCCACCAAAGCCTACATACCATAAAACAAAGACATATAGTTTGACACTGTGAAAATTAGAACGAGGATGATTGACTAAGGAATGAGAGTGATACAAATATGAAACCCTAGTATTGTGTACCCCTTAGTATCTAACCCGCTACAGCCTACACAGGCTAGATCGTATAAGTCTGACACACCCCCATAGGCAAAGTGGGGGAGAACAGGGGGTCACAAGACCAGTCAAGCAAAGAAAAGTAAAGCAAGCTCAGGGTGGATCACAACGTCACCAC